TTAAATTTGTTGATTAAGTAGTCGGCATTTGAGATTGATGCCAGTCGAAGGCATTTTGGCATGGAAGTAGCATGTAAGGCACATGGTGCCTTTTGATATTTTATAGGATCAAAATATATACTCATGCCGGTGGCCATATTAGTCCTACAGTCCCTGAGTTGATAAGACCCATTGTCAAACAAGAGCATTGGGATGCTTTTATTACTAGGTGCCTTGACAAATCATTCTTGGTAAGGATCATGATATTTTGTATAATAATTTTATATGAATTGATCACTAAAAGCATGGTACTTTTTATTTTTTTAGGAACTGAGCCAGAAGAATAAGATTCAAGGGCAAAAAATCTTTTTCCATTCCTAAAAGGGTGCTTAGGGTATTCAAGAATCGAGCAACAAGTGGTATGTTTTGAATTTATTAATTAATATGCAATATGTGATGTCACTAATGTATTTTAATGCATAGATTGATGAAGAGGGCACACCAGAGAGCTCTATATCATGAGCCAAACTCTTTATTAGGTTTAGACTAATAAAGATGGCAACTATGTGGGTGAACATGTTTGAGAACTTGCTGAAAAGGTTGTAAGTATTTTCATTCTCAACTTTCAATAACATGCTAATAATTGCTGTTTTAATAACTTGTGCTTTCCAAATTATGATGAATAGAGTGTCATCTTAGAAGAAGTTTTTAAAGGCAAGCTTCCCCAGGAGGAAGATGTCTTAGAAAGGGCATTGGGGAATCATGATCACTCGGGTTGTGTTAGAGGTGTTGGCATGGGGTCTCAATGAAACAAATAATGGGGAAAAAATACTCCAAAAAATGTGCCTTCTTTAGCTGAATTTAATGCTCTGAAATAACAAGTAGAAGCACAACAAAAATGATTGAGGCACTGCTTAGGGCTAATGATTCTGGAAAGTCACTCTTTGAGCATATAAGTCCCAGCAAGATAGATAGTTGCACTGTGCCCAGCCATCTGGTCAAATTCCCAAGGTATATATTATTTTATTCCTTAACTTTGGTTGACCATTATTTTTATTAACTTATACTTATTTTTATTTAGGGTAAGCATGATTTCTTTTTTATGGCAAATAGCCTTGGTAGACACAAAGTGGTAAGAGGCCGTGTGTTTAATATCCCTGGGAAAAATACCATACACAATGTGCCGATGCCTACAAATTATTTGCGAGGGTTGACTCTTAAACCCATTGATACCAACTACCCATTACCCATTCCAACCTTAGATGCTTTATTGTTTGGAGAAGCAAGTGGCAACTTTATTGTATAGCCCAGGGTTTGCTTCTTGTGTAGAAGATGAGGCATAAAATCAACAAGCATGCTAGTTACCTTTTTATGTATATGTCACATAATTAGTCTCTAACTATATAATTGGTGCGCAATCTAAGGGGAAGGGCATCACTAGACAATCAGGCTAATTATCCAAGGTTAGACAGCCATGTCAACCAATTGCCAAAAACCTACCAGAACTCACTTGAGGCATATGCAAAGTTGTTTGCTGATTCTACAGTGCTTATCAGCTTTGACCAGAGTATGTACGGCAAAGAATAACATGATGTTTTAGGGTTGAAATGGTCAACGAAGTCCTCAAGCGAGTTTTGATTAGCCAAAACGTGGTTCATTTTTATATAAGGTACATATTTTTTTATATGACTTTTTATTATATTTCAAACTTAATATAATATAATAATTTATTTATTTTTTTCATTTAGGTACCTATATGAAAATTCTATCGTCCCTAGTGATCTTGCATCAAAATTTATCTTTGTCTGTCCTCATGATGTCTCTACATCGCAACATTACTACCGAGGTGTAGTATAGCCAAGCTCAAACATTAGCAAAGTACTTTGAGGCAAAAACCTTATTGTTGGGACGTTATTTTCTGGTACCTTATGTACAAGGGTGAGTTCAGTAGTATCCTAATTTAGTTAATTTATCTTGTCATTTTAAGTTTCATAACATATGTTTTCAAATTGTTTTAGGAGCCATTGGATGCTAATCGGCATTACGTCGGCTGCTATTAAAACTGTAAAGTTTTAGTACTTGGATTCAGTATTAAATATGTATTGTCTTCTATGCTCATCTGGGGATGATGAGTAATACTCATCATCATTGACGAGAGATTTGTAAAATATTGAAGTGATAATATTAAATTATTGATGAGATATTTATAAACAATTAGCATTAAACTTTGTTAGTAACACATGATCGTTTAATTATTAGATATATGAAGTTATAATTGTAAAATATTAAAGTCATAGTTGTAAATTGTTGATGAGGTAGTTATATACAATTAGTATTAAACTGTAATATGATAGAACACATTTGTTACCCACTTTTATTTGTCAATTAGGACCCTTTTATTAATGATTTATCACCTTCAAGTGCACACATTGCATTAGATTTGTAATTTTGCCTAAGTTTCTAGGTTCAGTGCACAAGGGGCATTTTGGTCCAAAAAATGAACTTTTTTGAGAAAATGTACAAGAAAAATTGAAAAAGTGCATTTTATGTCCAGTGATGAATGGTGAATTAAATTTTTAAAATTCATTTTAGTTTGAGAGTAATTAAATAAAAAAGTCAACACTTTCTTAAGTGTCTTAGTTGTCCTAGTTTTGGGTTTTGCCTTTGTGTGAAAATTTTTATATAATTTTGTGCAGCCTGAAACTTGGTAATTTAATAAATTCTCCCTTCTAATTATGAATTTAATTCTGGACATGAATTAGATTTTATTATATCATATGCTATTTAATTGAATTATGTGATTTATGTGACATAGGTGGCATGTGACTTGTGCATCAATTGGGCAATTGAGGTCAACACTCTTGAGGTCAATGGCTGATGGTTTGGCACGTGAATTATGATTATTTTTGAGGGATTAAATCAGCTAAAATGATGTGGATGACACATGAAAAATTAGGCACACATTGGAATCATCTATAAATCAATAGGAAGTTGCCACCTTACAAGTGTGACAAGCTCCCATTTACATTTTAATTTCTTTTTCCTTATTTTAATTAAGCTT